CTCTGAGCCGCTTTACAAAGTAAGTTACGTGTAATGCAGAGCAGTCGCTCGGAGTAGTTCGGTGCTTGGAAATAACTTCGGTTGCACGTTATTTTGCAACTTACAACGTAATGTGTCGTCGGAGGTGTTCATTTTGCGCTTTACTAGTAGATGACATTGGCCATGATGACAATTTTGGTACTAAAAACTGAAAGAAAACATGGCTTACCTCGTAAGGTGCTTACCTATTTTCCCAGTGGGTTAATTTGAAATTGTCTGAACTTAAATTGTAAATTTAAAATGGAAATTTTCTGAATATGAATTGTAACTTTCTGAATTTGAAATAAAAGTTTCTGAATTTGAAATGGAAATTCTGAATTTGAAGTATAATTTTCTGAATTTGAATTACAACTTTCTGAATTTAAAATGGAAATTTTCTGAATATGAATTGTAACTTTCTGAATTTGAAATAAAAGTTTCTGAATTTGAAATGGAAATTCTGAATTTGAAGTATAATTTTCTGAATTTGAATTACAACTTACTGAATTTAACATGGAAATTCTGAATTTGAAATGGAAATTCTGAACTTTAATTGTAACTTTCTGAATTTAAAATGCAACTTTCTGAACTAAAACTGAAAAAGGTGTAGTAGTGTTGAATGGCATTGTCCATGCTTCTGCGCCATATACCAGCACGGGCATGATGAGTGACTTATAGAGTGTGGTTTTCGTACGTCGAGAGAGGACTTGACTCCTGAATTGCCTACTCAGTCCAAAGTAGCACTTGTTGGCACGAGTGATTCTGCGTTGGATTTTTATGCTGACATTATTATCGGTGTTAATACTGGTTCCCAAGTAAACGAAATTCTCTAATTTCTCGAAATTATAACTGTCAACAGTGACGTAGGTGCCAAGGCGCGAATGTGCTGACTGTTTGTTTGATGACAGGAGATACTTCGTCTTGTCCTCGTTTACCACCAGACCCATGCGCTTTGCTTCCCTATCCAACTTGGAAAAGGCAGAACAGACTTCGCGGTTTTTGTTACCGATGATGTCGATGTCATCGGCATAAGCCAGCAATTGCACGCTCTTG